TTTTGTATCACAACCTTAGAAGTTATTTTGAAAACAATTCCTGCTGAAATGCAAGCTAACAGTCTCCTTTGTCTGAATGTTCTGATGAGACCCATATTGTACGTTATTCTAATTTTTGACTTTTACACATTTCCGACTAACAGAGTAAAGCATGATTAGCATTTCCTAACCTTTTCCAGTATTTCACATAATATTTGCATATGTACAATCTGCCAAGCTCTGTAGTTTTTTGGCTAGAAGGCATAATGGTGGGATGAGAGAGGATAAATACATTTGCCTCACTTTTAAACTATCCTTTTTTGTCTGTACTCATTCTTTGACCACATTGTATAAAAATATACCACAGGTATGAATGATCTCTTTCACCTTGTTTGGTGGGAAATTGGCTGTATTAGGTAGTGAAATAAGTATCTCAACACTCTCCTGTACTTCTTCATTGCACTAACTTAGTAGTTAACTGTAGATATATATGTATTTCATAATTCAGGCAAAAGAGAAGGAACAGGAAGTAGCATTTACTTGAGCATCTATTGTTCCTTGATGTATCCATTTAATTGCAACATCTTTGTGAGGTAGTATTATATGCATCTTACAAATGAACAAACTGAAGCTCAGAATGTTGAGTAACGTACCCAAGATCAGGTAACAGAGCGGAGGTTTAAACCTGGTACTAGTGAGGTTCAGATCACATGTGTTTTGAAACTATAGAAGTTGAAATATCAAGTCAGACTGATGGCCCATTGTAACCTAATCTCTAGTGAAGCCAAAGGTCATTTTCAAAGAGGAAACTTCTTAGCTACAGGAGTAATTATGCTCATTTCTAATAGATACCATTTGAATCTTTATTTTGATGAAATGATACAAAGGATTTGTTGAAGTAAAAGTGCTTTTTAAAGTAGATATTTGTAAAGCTTCACCAATATGTAGGATAGCATTGGCTTTTATGTGTTCCTGCCTTAAAATTAAATTGTTCAAAATTTTCAGTCTTTGCTAAACTCACAAAGGAAGTTGATATTTTTGCAAAAGAGCATAAACTGCCTTTAGATCATGGTTCACTTAATTTTTTTTTCAGATTGCTTTGTTAGTATATTACTGTTAATTAGCTGGGTACAGAGCTTAGAAAAGAAAATATATTGTAAAATTTATGGATTATATGAAGATAAAAATAGTGAAGAGGCTGATTAGCAGATTCAGAATCCATCCTGTAGAAGCTGTAGTAATCCTATAGAGGATCACAACTAGAAACAGATGAATCAAAAACTTAAGGCTTTCTTCATGAGACTAAGTGTAACAAGTACAGGACTTAGTTGCAATAGAAAGAAGACAAGCTTTTAATCGACAGAAAACTTAATATGACTCAGCAATGTGTTTTGGACATTTTAAAAGGCAGAACTGCATTAATAAAAGTTTATTATCTAGGACAGGAAGATTATGATGATCTTTACTCTGCATTGGTCGTTTCAAGGTTGGAGTGTTAATTGAATGCAGTTCTCTATACCACCCTTTAAGATGAATTGAGTGCATGCTCAGAAAAGAAGATAGTCTCATCTGTCTAAAAGGAATGTTTGAAAGAACTTGAGTTATCCGCTAAAGAACAGACTCAGGATGATTTACAGTCACAGTGTAGATTTGCTTCCTGTGGTTTTGCAGATAGACTACAGACAAGTTAGTCATCGTATATTAAAAATCCTATTAAAGGGAATTGGTAGCTGAGGAAGAGTACTATATAATGAAGAATCTTGATCTAGCAGCCAGTACTTTTTCTGAGATAGTTTAGTAGGCTGCCAGGTGAGGTAGTACATTCTTGTCCTGATAGTGTTCAAATCTAGGTAGAATGGCAAAGAAAGAACTGAAGCATATGATGTTTTATTTGGAACAGAAGACTTTCAAGATCTCTTACCAATCCTAAACTTTTTTTGATTCAAAGATTAAAAGGACTTTATGGAAGTATTATTTTGTCCCCATGAAGCCAGCTCACCTTAATAATAGTAATTTGCATTGGTGCAGTTCTTTATGAATTATAAAGTATTTTCTTTTGAGTTATCTCAGTTTTGTGTCTAACACTAACCCTTTGGGTAGACAGGGTAGGTATCCCCATTTTGAACAGATAAGGTAGGCTAGAGACAGTCTGAATTGCCCACAATCATAAAGCTTATAAGTGGTAGACCTAGGGCTCTATCTCAGGTCTACCATTCCAAGTTTAGTGCTGTTTTTACTATACCAGTTTGCCTTAGAAAGTACATTATAAGTTGTGATTCTTGCTTTGTATGCACTGAAAATTACAGGGAACAGATGGTTCTCAAATTATATTCCCATATTAAATGTAATTGCAGCTCAGTTAGACCAAGGGTTCTAAAAGTCAACGGGGCGCCTGGGTGGCTCAGTCGGTTAAGCGTCCAACTTTGGCTCAGGTCATGATCTCACAGTTCGTGGGTTCGAGCCCCACGTCACACTCTGTGCTGACAGCTAGCTCAGAGCCTGGAGCCTACTTCAGATTCTGTGTCTCCCTCTCTCTGTCCCTCCCCTGCTCATGCTGTCTCTCTCTCAGAAATAAATAAAACCTTAAACAAATAAAAAAAATTTTAATAAATAAAAGTCAAATAATGGGGAGCCATTCAGCAGATCTATGTTATAGAAAGAGAACTCTGGGTACAATTAATGAAAAAACCTAGTTTGCACTTCAAGATGAATGATGGTACACCCCCATTCACTAAGATAGCAAATACAGGAGAAGTAGCAGATTGGTGGGCCATGAAGCGGGTGACTGCATTTTGGATGTAATTAAAATAGCTACCGTTGATTGTTTATTAAGTGCCAGACACTGTACTTAGGGTTTTGTATCCTTTATCTCACTTAGCCTTATCACCATCTCTCTGAAGATGAGACTTTTTAATCTCTACTTTTCATATGAAAAAACTGAAGCATAGTTTAAATAACTTGTCCAAGGCTTCATAATAAGTGTAAGAGCAGAAATTTGAATCTTGGTGTCTGACTCCAAAACCAGCATTCTTATGATCTAGTTTAAGGTTTGTCTGTGATGTTTGGATTAAAATGATCAGTATTTAATTGAGTAAGTGGTTGTGGCTTTTGGTAGAAAGGTATATCCTGGAGTTATCTCCAGGATACCTTACCATGAAGTGGGCAATACTATAGCTTCTGCAAGTGTCTTAGGATAGTAAAGATTTTATACCTGTCTCCTCCTTTTCTGCATTTTCGCACTGTTTCTGTGCTTTTAATATCGTATAGGCATCCCCTAACCTAGAAACATACTCTCTGAGTGTTTGAAAATGAAAGGTGCTCTTTTATGGGTCAGTAGACCTGTGAGACCCTCTAGGATGGATCTCTAGGATGGGGCCATGTTTTCTTAACCTTTCATCTCCAGCTTGGCACCTAAAACTTAGAATGAATGAAACAAAAGGGGTGGATGAATGGATGGATAAATAGGGATTTGGAGAGTAGAGAGAGTTCAGATTCAGAGCATCTGCCTCATGTGGGGAGTGTGATGGGTGGGCTACCTTTTATAGCCTAGTTGATGATGCTCCAAAGACGGATAGCTTAGATCCTTGTACACTTGTTGAATTGACAAGTGGTCAGGGGCACTTACTCCTATTTTCACTGAAGTAACTAAACAAGATGTTGTGTTCCTGACTTCTGGTTTTGTTTTGTTATTAATTATACAAATAATACATATTCATTGTAGACACATCAGAAAATTCAAATACGCAAAAACAAACATTTTAAATTGTCTAAAATTCTACCACCCAGAAATAGCCACTGTTAACATTTTGGTGTATATTCTTCCAGAGTTTTTCCCATAGAAATATATACATTGGAACATGTATATATTTATTTAAAATGGGATCATTACAATCCATATTGTTTTGTAAACTGCTTTTTCACTTATTACATGTGACTGTCTTTCCATGTCAATAAATTTACATCTTTATTATCATTTTAATGACTGTATAGTATTCCATTATATGGATGTACCATCATATATTTAACTAGTTCTCTATTGTTAAGAATTTAGGTTTCCAATTTGGAGTTCTTTTTGGAAAAAGTTATGGTGAGCATTCTTGTATGTACATCTTTGCACACTTGTTTTAATACAGACTTAGATTATCTTCCTAAAAGGTTGTGCTGATTTATACTTTCCCTAGCAGTATATCCTGAGTGCTCTTTTTCCCTTACTCTTACTAGTGCTGGGTGTTGTTTTTTCTGTAAATCATTACCAGTACATATCTTTGATTAGTACTAAGGCTAAACTCTTTTTTCCCTTATTGCTCATTTCTGTTGAGGTTCATCATTTTTTCTTACAGGTTTGTAAAACAAAACTCTTTGTGTAATTGAAGATACCAGCCCTTTGTCATATGTTGCTTTTTTTGTAATCGGTTCGTCTTTTATCTTTTTTGTGTCTGGTAGATGACATTTTAAACTTTTATCAACTCAAATGTCATTTATTTCCTTTATGACTTCCACCCTCTTTACCCCATAAGTATTATTTACCTATATTTTCTTCTAATACTTATATAATTTTATTTTTTACATTTAAATGTTTAATCTATCTGGAATCGATTTTGATATGGAGATCTAGCTTACTTTTCAAACCCTAAAATAACTAATCAGCTGCCCTGATCAATCAGTAGAGTTGGATTTTAGAATGTGTTTTGCCATAGAAAGTATTGTAAGTGATGTTTGGTGAGATTTAAATAATACTATTTGTAATTCATTTAACTATTAAAATAAATTCAAGGACTTACCTGGAAAGGTAATCATCATTTATTATATAATTTCCATGGAAAAATGTTTTTATAGTTAACTTTTAAAGCACAGCCTGTTGCATGTTGGCAACTACATACTTATATGGTTGTTTGGCACTTCATTAGAATCCTTTAAGGGTGACAGTATTCCTATTATGATTCTGCTTTGTCTGCCTTCATTTAACTTTAACTGATATGAGATCTGTGTTGGTAACTTTCTCCTTGCTGTACTTTTCACAGAATGGACAGCAAATTATGGATGAACCTATGGGAGAGGAGGAGATTAATCCACAAACTGTAAGTAAAATATTGTATCATAAGGGATATAGATAAATCAGATACCATAAAATTTAAGTATTATTTTTTTAACTGAGCAAAATAATATTTTACGGTACTTAGAAGTTTTTTTATGATTTAATTTTGCCAAAATATAATCTTGAATATGCCAGTGCCTTTTTTTTTAAGTTTATTTCGTTTGAATGAGAGAGCATGAGCAGGGGAAGGGCAACAAGAGAGGGAGAGAGAGAGAATTCCCAAGCAGGCTCCACACTGTCAGTGCTGAGCCCAGTGTGGGGCTCAAACTCATGAACCATGAGATCATGACCTGAGTCAAAATCAAGAGTCAAACACAACTGACTAAGCCACCTAGCGCCCCCTCCCAGTGCCATTTTTAAAAACCGTTTAATGGAATGCCTGGGTGGCTCAGTTGATTAAGTGTCTGACTTTGGCTCAGGTCATGATCTCACAGTTCATGTGTTCGAGCCCCGCATAGGGCTCCTTGCTTTCAGTGCAGAGCCTGCTTTGGACCCTCTATCCCCCATCTCTCTGCCCCTACCCCACTTGCTCACACTCTCTCTCTCTCTTTCTCTCTCTCAAAAATAAATAAAATATTAAAAAAGAACTGTTTGATAAGACTGATTTTAAGAGAATGACAAAATAATTTGCTTTATGTTGTTGAAAGTTTTTCATTAGTACCTTAAAGCTTTTTTTTTTTTTTAAATCACACTAACCATAGATACATTAGAGACAAAAATATAAAGGTCATTCTTTATAGAAATATTTAATGTATGGACGCCTGAGTGGCTCAGTTGGTTAAGCATCTGACTCTTGATTTCGGCTTAGGTCAAAATCTCATGATTTCATTGAGTTTGAGCCCCGTATCAGGCTCAGTGCTGACAGTGTGGAGCCTGCTTGGGATTCTCTCTCTCTCTGCCCTTACCACCCTCCCTCTCTCTCTCCTTTTCTCTTTCTCTCAAAATAAATAAACATTTTTTTTAAAAAAGAAATATTTAATGTAGAAGATGAACGTTCACCACTTCCTCATCTTGTTTTTTTATTTATTCCTAAGTCCCCAGCACCTAGACCAGTGACTGGAATATAATAGACACTCGTTAAATATTACATGAATGAATTAATAAATTTCCCATCTGTAAGAGATTCATTGTTAGCAGTTCACTTATTTTTATTCCATACATAAGATCATTATTACTGATATTTATGAAATATATATACTCTCCAGCTTGCTCGTTTCACCTGCTAAGTCCTGAACATCTTTTTATGGCAATACATGAAGATCTGCCTCTTATTTATTTATTTTTAATTTTTTTAAGTTTATTTGTTTATTTTGAGAGAGACAGAGGTAGGACATGTGGGGAGGGGCAAGAGAGAGAGGGAGACAGAGAATTCCAGGCAGGCTCCATGCTACCAGTGCAGAGCCCAACAACGCAGGGCTCAAACTCAGGAAACCATGAGATCATAACCTGAGCCAAAACGAAGAGTCAGTTGCTTAACTGACTGAGCCACCCAGGTGCCCCAATCCGCCCCCTTTTTAAATTCTTGCGTAATATTCTATTTTATGCATGTCGTACACTTAATATAATTTTACCCCTATTTAGTTTTGGGAACTTGTATTTCAGTAGGATATAGTGTTAGAGAAGAATGTGCTAGAACAACAGGTATGAACATATAAATCTCAATAGACTTTGCCAAATTGCTGTCCAAACCAAAAAGTTTGTAAAAATGTTAGTATATGAGAGTATCTATTCAAGCATATCCTGTTCAACACTGGATATTATTAGAAATTAATTTTCATTCAAGCCATTCTAATAAATAATACTTTCTCATTTCAGTTTGCATCTAATTTGATTATTAGCGAGGTTGAGTATCATGCATTACTGGCCTTTGTATTTTTGTGTTTGCCCAACTTTCTTTTGGGTTGCTTGTTATCTCTTCATGGGCTATGTGACCAAATATATTCTGGATATTAGCTCCATGTCTATAATGTCTCTTGCAAATGTTTTATCCCTATTTTTTTTAACACTTATTATGTTGTCTTTCATTGTATGTGTACAGAAGTTTTCATTTTTAAATGGTCAGATCTGGCTTCTGGGTTTTATGTTTTGATTAGAAGATTCTTCCCAGCACCAAGGTTATAAAAATATCCTCTTATATTTTCATCTGCCACCTCTATGGTTTTGTGTTTTACATTTAGATCTGTGTTCTATTTGGAATTTTAGTTCCCATTATGATGTGGAAATCTCACTTTTCTTTCCAAATAGCCTTTTGTCCTAATCTCTACTTAGTGAACACATAAAATCTGTATATCCTACTCATTCAAGATCCCTCTTATCATATATAAAATTGCCATATCCTCCATGTATTAGTTTCCTACAGCTGCCCTGACAAAGTGCCACAAACTGGGTGGCTTAAAATAACAGAAATTATTCTCTTCTTTCACAGTCAAGAAGACTAGAAATCCAAAATCAAGGTGTTGACAGGGTAATGTTCTCTGAACGCTCTAGGGGAGGATCTTTCCTTGTATCTTCTGGCTTCTGGTGCCTGTCAGCAGTCCTTGGTGCTCCTTGGCCACATCACTGCAGTCTCTACCTCCATTGTCACGTGGCGTTTTCCCCCTATAAGTCTCCATATCCAAATTCTTTCTTCACATAAGGATACTAGTCATTGGATTAGAGCCCATGTTACTCCATTATGACCTCATCTTAACATTATTAAGTCTACAAAGACCTTATTTTCAAATAAGATCATATTCATAGGTATTGGGGATTAGAAATGGAACGTACCTTTTTGGAGGACGCAGTTCACCCCATAGCATCCCTGAATGTTTCACATACGTTTTCAATTACTGTACTTTTATTATGTTTTTTATATGTGGCAAGGCAAGATATATATGCCTTTTTAGTTTTCAGAATTATGGTCTTATATATCTTCCAGATGAACTTAGTAATCAATTTATCAAGTACTCCTGAAAAGGTTATTGGCATTTTTATCAAAATTCCATTAAATTTTCTGATTAACATGAAGATTATTTTAATAATGTTGAGTCTCCACATCCCAAGAACATTTACTCTGATATTCTTTTATATCCTTTATCAAAATTTTATGGTTTCTTATAGTATTATACATTAATCTATTAAGATGATTCATGGGTATTTTGTAGTTTTTGTTATAAGTGAGATTTCTTTTCTGCTGCCTTCCATCCAGTTATTGCTCGTATATAAAAATGTTATATGTTCTTATATGCTTTTTAGTATATTGGGAAAGTTTTCAGAAATCATACAAATTGTCATGAACATTTTGTCACTTAGGAAAGAGTAAGATCATTGTACTTTTCTTAAAATCTTCAGTAGTTTTGGGCTTCCTTTTAATAAAGTCCAGACAGTACAGTGTGAGCTATCAGGCCCTGTATAATAAGGCCTTTGTGTACTTCTTTGTGTAATCCCCAGCCACACTCCTCTGCCCTCTCCTGAAAGCTCATTCACTCCAGTGTATCAGGTTCTCTTTTGCTCCTGGACCTTCATAGGTGATAGTCCCTCTCCCAGATTTCTTTTCCCTTAGTACCCCCCTTCAGTTAATTCCTAGTCATCCTTCAGGTTCAAGCTTGATATCACTTCAACTGAGGTGTCTTCCTGACACAACTACCATTTCTTTTTCCGCCTCAAGCTAAGTGTTTTTCCTTTGTGCTTCCATAGCAACCTGTGAGTACCCTAAATGGCAATACCACCTTCGATTCCATTACTTATTTACTTATTCCCTAGTGAACTATGAGCTGCATGAGGCATTGACCGTGCCTGACTCATTCCTTGTTTTAAATCCAGTACCCAGTAGGTGTTCAATAAGTACTTGTTAATTAAATGAATGCATAAACTAAGTGTTGGCTAGCACAGGGACCCAGGCATGGGACCTGTGCCTGAGGTTACCTTCACACTTAGTCTAGATTTCTACACCTCCCAAGCCATTTGAGGCATTCTGCTTCATTCATCTGTAGTATATATTTATTAGCATTTAATCAAACACAAAAACAAACCATAAACGTTAATACTGATTTTTCTGCCACCAGTTACTTATTTTTTGTTATGTAACACTTTCTTTGGAAAGAAAACCTTCAAATTTTTTATTCTCCCTAGTTTAAAAACATTTTCCATTGTGATATTGTATGGCTCATACTTTCCCCTAGAACATTAGTAACATTTACATACAGAAGAAAATTGCATTTTAGACATAGGGTTGAAAAGGTGCAGGACTAAAATATTACTAGCAATGTGCGTGAAGTTGTTTAGCAGATCATTCCAGATTATAGGAATTAGGATTGGGTATAAGATAAAAGCCTAATATTTACTATTTCTTTCATGGTATTAAATCCAAAAGATTGTCAAAATATATATTAGCCTAATACTTTTAAATTGTGTTTGCCTTTAATGTACAATTAAAAGTTTTCATTTTGTCAATTACTGATAATTTAAATAGCAAAAATGGAGATGTTGTATTAGTATGTATTTCATGCGTAGCAATTACCCTAGAATTAGTAGCTTAAAACAACATACATTTCTTTTTTTTTTTTATTTATTTTTAAAAACTGTTTTATTTATTTCTGAGAGAGAGCGAGAGAGACAGTGTGAGTAGGGGAGGGTCAGAGAGAGAGGGAGACACAGAGTCTGAAACAGGCTCCAGGCTCTGAGCTAGCTGTCAGCACAGAGCCCAACATGGAGCTTGAACCCACGAACCGTGAGATCATGACCTGATCCAAAGTCGGACGCTTAACCGACTGAGCCACCCAGGCGCCCCCAACATACATTTCTTACCTCAGTTTCTATGGGTTATAAATCTGGGAGACCCAACTTAACTGGGTCCTTTGGTTCAGAGTCTCACAGATTGCAGTGAAGGAGTTGGCCAGGGCTAGATTCTCGTCTGAACTTTGACTCAAAAGGATTCTGCTTCCAAGCTCACATGTTTGTTAGCCCAGACTCTTGGCACATAGAAACCGTGAAATAATAATTGTG